AGCCACCGGCGGGGGGGGGGGGGGGGGGGCGGGGGGGAGAAAAGGATACATTAGGTTAGATTTACATGCAAGAAAACGAACAGATGCTAACATATTAAAATAAACTAATGACATTTTCTTTGATTTGAAAATTGCATGAAAAGTATGTTTTTGCTCTTCCCTTTAAAAAATAAAATTATGGTGGAGGATGGATGAACCAAGCAGTTCTTACGAAAACCTCTCCAAGAATTTCTTTAATTTATATCTCTTATGAGAGAGTATATCAGGCATTAACCATTGTTTTTCTATAATATGCATTTGCACTTGTCACAAATATTTTTGCACGACTACTACAGGCAATTAATTTCCCTGAATGTTTTTACAACACAACCTGGGGGGGGGGGGGGAATTGGAATAAAGCCCTCCTTGCAGCAGCCTGGGAAGCCATGGCCTTAGTACAGTTCACCAAAGAGTAAAACCATTTCCTTAATCCACCCTGGAGGCCACGGACGGTTATCTGAGCTTCCACACCCCCTGCTGCCCGAGTCCTTTGAGGACAGAACTGGGAAGGTGATTTTGTTGCCTCTGGTGAAAGACAACAGAACTTGGGAGAGTTGGGAAAAGGTGGCTGAATGGGTTGAAGTAAATATTCAACCAGAGCAGGAGCTGCACTGAGTCAGTCCTTTGAAATTTGAGCGCTGGCTTGAGGAAGTACGTGTGCAACGCTTTTGGAAATCGGGCAATTCTGCTCTTCACGTTTCTTCGCGTGCAGGTATGTGTGCAGATTTAATGGAACCAGCCAACCCTACTACCGCCAGTGGCCCTCGAAGGACCTCAGCCCACAGGCACTCAGCCACAGTTCTCCTGGGACTTGTCAGGAAGGCGATGGGAAAGTGAGACTTGGCAAACGTGGGGAGGTGTGATTCGGACACTGTCGGTGGGAATAGCTAAAGCTTTTTAGGTAGCCTCCCCCCCCCCCACCCCCCGCTCCCGACTTATAAAACAGGTGGACAATAATCGCTAAGCCTCTTCCTGACTCTGAACTTCTGCCGCTGCTGCTATTTCTTCGCACCTGTGAGAAGGACAGGGCAGAAGCTCTTCAGGAGGAGGCTGATGAGGAAGGACAGGCAGGTGGTGTCCCGGGAGGCGGTGTGGTTCACGGTCTCCCCGAATTCCGTGATCTTCAGGATGCTTTCCCCGGGGCCTTGCGGATCCGCGAGGATTGAGGTTCCTAAGGTAACATTTAAAAAAGAAAGTTTCAGATCATCTATAATAATAAAAGGGCAACATGCTAATGAGACCGGACGTCATTCCGGATGTCATTCCGGATGTCCTTCCTGACGAAGCCGGCCCGAGGGAAGCCAGCCCAGGTCCCGGGTGCCTGCTGGCGGCCGGAGGAGGGAAGCAGCCCGGGTCCCGGAGGGAAGCCGGTGCCGGCAGCTGGGCGAAGGAAGGCCTACTCTTGCACGGATTTTCGTGCATCGGGCTTCTAGTCTGTCAATAAATGTTAGCTTTATCTTTTAGGGGCTAAATACTTTCTGGAAAAGCGGGTACGTTATAGAGCCATTGAAACATATACACGTGAGGCAGAGCTGTTGCAAGGGCCTGAGGGTCCCTGCTCATCTCAGAGGTCGTCTCTTTCATTCAGACTCTGCGAGGGTGAGCTCCCCGCACGCCTGCTAGGCCCACCAGGTGCAGACGGACCCTCCTGCCACCCCGCCTACGAATCTGCTCTCCCCTGCGAGGCAAGCGTCCCCTCCTCCTTCCCTCCAGGGAATTGCAGAGAGCGGCTCTCCTGCCGAAGGCTCCTGCCATCCTTTCTAAAGGTACTTCAGTGAAGGCCTGGGGTGAGGGGGTGACAAACGGGACATCTGTAATACTTTCAACAATCAAGATAAATGAAGAACAGGCAAGCAAAAAACCAACAATGGAAAAAGAACTTCACTTCTTTGATAACTAGAGGCCCGATGCACGAAATTCGTGCAAGAATAGGCCTTCATTTCCAGGCTGCTGGCACCGGCTTCCCTCTGGCACCCGGGACCCGGGCTTCCCTTGCAGCCCCAGCTTCATCCGGAAGGTCATCCGGAAGGACGTCTGGTCTAATTAGCATAATACGCTTTTATTATGATAGATCCTTCTCCCCTGCCACTATCTGCTTTTCATTTTATTGGAATTTTCCATTGGACAAACACATATGTGCTAATATCTCCAATCTTTTTATTGGTTGAACCATGTGAAATTAACATTTTGGTTCGTAAAAACCAGGTGAATAAAGGCAATCTTATATGAATTAAAACAGCCCCCCAAAAAACCTAAACCAAATCTTCCTTATCCCCACGGCTCGCTAATACCGCCGCAATTCTTTCCTCTATTACACAGCCAAAACTCTCAAAAGGGATAAATATAACAGAACCTCACTTCCTCAACTTTTATTCACTCTTTTTTAAATTAAAAATTGAATAGCTAAAACGTTTACCTGGTACACAGTTGAACAGTATGGGAAGGTATGCACTGCACGGTTATATATCCTAGTCATCCCTATATCCTAGTCACCTATTTCCCACACTCTAGAAAAGACCAACGCTTTCCCATAGGAGTGGTACCCTAAAATACCACGTTATGCGCGTCGATACCCAGTTATGTTTTTTCTATGTAATAGTAAAAACTAAGATCAAAATGACCCAATCAATGTTAGCACTAACATGTGATAAACAATCCATAGGACGTTTACCTGGTACACAGTTGAACAGTATGGGAAGGTATGCACTGCACGGTTATATATCCTAGTCATCCCTATATCCTAGTCACCTATATCCCATACTCTAGAAAAGACCAACACTTTCCTATAGGAGTGGTACCCTAAAATACCGAGTTACATGCGTCGATACCCAGTTATGTTTTTTCTATGCAGTAGTAAAAACTAAGATCAAAATGACTCAATGTTAGCACTAACATGTGATAAACATAATCCATAGGTTTTATTTTTAAAAATATATTTTATTGATTTTTTTACAGAGAAGGAGAGGGATAGAGAGTTAGAAACATCAATGAGAGCGAAACATCTATCAGCTGCCTCCTGTACACACCCTACTGGGGATGTGCCTGCAACCAAGGTACATGCCCTTGCCCTTGACCGGAATTGAACCTGGGACCATTCAGTCCGCAGGCCGACGCTCTATCTACTGAGCCAAACCGGTTAGGGCAATTCATAGGTTTTAAATAAATATGATCAGCCACTAATACTTACTGGGACAAATATTGTATAATAGAACCCTGCTATTTTCAACTGAAATGCATTTGGAGTTAGAACTTTCTGGATGCTTTATGACTTGATAGCTCTGGTTGTTTTCTCTAAAAATTCTTATAACCAAACTATGAAATTCTTTGATGAGTGAAACCTAATCTCAAGGCAAATCGATGCAATTTGCATACTGATTTCCTTGTATTTGCATAATGAATTCCTTGTATTTGCATAATGAATTCCTTGTATTTGCATATTGAATTCCTTGTATTTGCAAGAAATCGACGTGAAGCTTCATCATTAAATTCCTGCCTCAACCTTCAACCAAGCTCTCAAAATACTACAACTTTCTATGTATTTTTTTCTTACATTTGTATAAGGTTGAGAACAAAAGCAATATAGCATATATGGATATCGGTCACACTGATTATTCTGTTCTAATTTAAAGTTTCCTTTACAATTAACTGCAGTATGTACATATGTTTTTCCTGTTTTAGAAGAGGCCCTCTCCCCTTTTCTCCTTTCAATAATCCCAGCTACGTAAAATAATATTTCCACTAGTAAGACTTTCCATGAACTACAGTTTTACAATGTACAACCACCTTAATCAAATACATTCCAACTTTCTCCGAAACCAAAGATGTTTTTTAAAAAATATGTATTTTATTGATTTTTTTTTACAGAGAGGAAGGGAGAGGGATAGAGAGTTAGAAACACTGATGAGAGAGAAACATCGATCAGCTGCCTCCTGCACACCCCCTACTGGGGAGGTGCCCGCAACCAAGGTACATGCCCTTGACCGGGATCGAACCTGGGACCCTTCAGTCGATGCTCTATCCACTGAGCCGGTTAGGGCCAAAGATGTTTTTTAATAAAAGACATGTTTTGTAAACATATAGGGTGGAGCAAATGTAGGTGTACAACTGTGAGTACACGAAACACAATTTATTCTTATATTATTCATTACTTATTGGTTCCTGCACAACCTTGGAATCTATCAGGCCTCCAAGTTGCTGACATAACTACAGTACTTTTATATATGAAGTATTCCTAATATTTTAGAGAAATCAGAGCACAGTCCCAGTAATGACTTACCTCTTTGAATTAGTGTCTGGACGTTGGGAAGCAGTTCTGACCAGCGGATGAACTCGCACTGCTGTAAATCCACAAAATACCCAAAGACAGACGACTCGCCAGTTGGGAGGGTCATGCCTACATTTGAAAATAATAAGTGAAAATTATGAATAAATCCTAACAACAACGAGGTTCATTTATATGGAATGTTTCGCGCATGACCTGATCTCTATTTGAAAGATTTGGCTGTTGAGCCAGAAATAAATATTCACATCCGGAAAGCAAGGGAATCATGATCTGATATCCTTTGAAATCTTGCCCGTAAGTTTTGCTTATTACTAGAGCTGGATATTATCAAATGCCAGTAATGTGTTGGTTATACATGGGAAAATTCTGATACTCATTTGCAAATGACATTTACTTCACTATTATAAAAGTAACTAATTCTGTTAATAGATTTTGGAAAATACAGAACAAATGAATTTAGCCATGGTCTCACCATACAAAGATAACAGTGTTGGCATTTGATATATTCCTTTGAATCATTTATAAAATTTTTTAAAATATATTTTTTTTATTGATTTCAGATACTTTGCTACATCAGACAAACTAGTAGGATTAGTGCATTTGGTAATGTTTCGAGCTCTCCCTTTACTTGGCAAATACATTCATGTTCAATATTTTGTCTCTTTTTTGCTACCTTTTCTGTTCCAAGTCCCTTTAACCGATTAACAGCTAATTGGGGAGGTTTGCTGTTTCTAACTACGAGGGTAGGTTCCACTTACCAGAACTGCTTCAAAAAATACAAATACTAAAGAAATCTAAGGTTTTAAAAATCATTCCAAAATATTATTAGAAAATCTGAGCAAGCAGTTTTCAAAAAAGAAACATGAAATGATAATAACCTTCTTCTACTGAAGTTCCTACTACATGGTGATGCGTACAAATAGATCCAGCCATACAGCTGATGGGCTCCCCCGGCTAAGCTCAGGTTCAAGGCTTTATCTTTTTTTTTTTTTAAAAAAAAATATTTTTTATTGACTTCAGAGAGGAAGGGAAAGGAAGAGATAGAAACATCAGTGATGAGAGAGAATCATTGGCTGCCTCCTGCACACCCCCTTACTGGGGATCGAGCCCTCAACCCGGGCATGTGCCCTTGACTGGAATCAAACCCGGGACCCTTCAGTCCACAGGCTGATGCTCTATCCATTGAGCCAAACCAGCCAGGGCTCAAGGCTTTATCTTTATCTTTGTTCTGCCTTACATTGAGTTATAGCTTCTTGTAGCAACAAGAATCAACCAGGAATCTAGTTTTCTCTAGTGTCTTTCGCTGGAGAAAGGGTGTTGGAGTGTACTTATTGACCCTCGTTTACCTGTAAGGTCCACACTTTAAAAGGTGGGCCCAGTCCTAAAGGATTTCAAACGTTTCTTCTAAAGCAGTGGTTCTCAACCTTCCTAATGCCGCGACCCTTTAATACAGCTCCTCATGTTGTGGTGACCCCCAATTCCATTGTTACAAATTGAACATAAGTAAAGCATAGTGACTAATCACAAAAAACAATATGTCATTATAGATGTGTTTCCCGATGGTCTTAGGCGACCCCTGTGAAAAGGTCGTTCGACCCCCAAAGGGGTCGCGGCCCA